CCACCTATTTACATCAGATGGATGTTTTCTACCTCTGGACCGCATATTGTAGAAACCCGGTTCAGCCCGCATGAAACAATTGTTTGAGAGAGAGAGAGTTGTAATTAGAGGAATACTAGTATTACCTCCAATAGTCACCAGTATCAGATTCCCCAGGTCCTCCAAAGCAACTAACCTGCAACGGTGAACACAAGTGTTATCATGAAGCATAACTAAACTCCTAAATAGAAACAATGTAATTTCAAGTCGAAATAGGCGTGTGTCGAGACAGTGAAGGCTAGGTTTTCATAGTCTAATGTCTCAAGTTCCATTCCTATGTGTAACCTTGTCAAAAAAAAACAATGTAATTTCAAGATAAAGAGAACAACGAACTATACCTATGTGAGTGCCCACGAGGTTCACGAAGTGCAAGTAAGAACTTTATTCACATGACATAGAGTTTTAAAACATCATCATTGGAGCCATCGCAACCAGAAGCAGCAGGAACAACAGATATAAGACGTCAGCTTATTTATTTGAACGTGTATGGAGGGAGTACAAGCCCAATTAGTTATTCATCTGGACCATGTCATTAGAAACGGAATGTGGGATAAACCCCAAACTTCTCCAATGGGCTCTCCATAGGGTTCACCATATGCGTACATGGGCTCCAATCACAAAGATCTACCTCATTTTCAGGAGCACCACTTTCCTTAATTAACATGTCTCTTATTATAACTTAACTCAGTATATCTCATTCAGTCATCGAAACAAGATTCCAGGTTATTTAAATGGCATCAATATTATCTCCAAGAATGACTAGGTCCTAAAATCTAAATCCCTAAAGCAAGAAACAGAGCTGCAATCAATGCAATTTAACCAGATGCTGGACAAATAGCATTATCCACACATCAAAATTGATTTAGAAACTCCACTTTGTCACTTACAACCATAGGTCAATTTGATACAAAACAAGTGAAGAACATAATTTTTAGTATCTTGATCCTTGACTCCTAATCCAATCAGAAACTGCAAGGACCGTTAAATGGAGATCTCATGATATAATGATTATCATCCACATAACAGGATCATGATACTTGAATTAACTAACCTACCATAAGAGAAACAATGCAAATATTCAATTTGATGATAGTCAATTGGAAACTGATCACTGGGTCAGGAAGAAGCACACCATCAGTTACTAATTAGAAGAGGCTCTAATGCTGCATCATTTAAATCTTTTAGGATTTGTCACCAAAATGCAAACTTCGAATAGGGAATTTCCCTAAAACCTGGCTCCAAAAACCTTCAAAATGCCAAATCAGAACTATAGCATTAGGTTTCCCTCAGATCAGACTGACTTCAGAGGTAAGTTAATTTGAGAAAATATAATCCTTGAGATATACTAGTATGCAAAATGTGCCAATTCAGACATGCTATGTTACACTTACAATGCCACAATCGTTTGACGACCAAACTGATCCCTCACCTAATGGCCAAACTAAGTATGCAAATTCAGAAAAAATGAGCCCAGAAAAACACTGACAAGTATGAGAAGATAAGGTTTGGATGTGTTTACTACAAGTGAACATATCCAATGCATGCTACAAAACTTTGTAGCCACAAAATCAATTAACATATAGCATGGTAGTGGATTTGACCAGTGACCTCAAACCCGCTATCTATTGTGTCAGGTTATCCCCACAAATTTGGAGTGAAATGAGCATGTATTTAGATATCACTGTCATAGGATACACTCCATTTTCTTTTTAATTAGAATGGCTTCAGTAAACCCAAGCCAACATGAGAAAAGTTTAATTCTTTCATTAGAAAGGTCAATACACCATGTTACAGTTCATTTTCTTCAAAAAAATAATTACCCCATTATAGTTCAAGGAAATATAGAAATAATTCTGAAAAGGAATGAACCGTTCAAAACTTGCATATCTATAGAAGTATAGAACAAAAACAAGTACAGTATAATTTGCAATATAGCTTCATAATTGGAAGAATTTATGTACGAAGCCATATAGCATCATCAGGGAAGATAGACATCACAACTCAGCAACTCATAGAGACCAACATACAAGTCCACATTGTAAAAATCTACTAACCTCCATATTTCCAGATATTGGGGATCGATGCAAGTGACTATGCAACCATTTCTGAGTTTTCATGTGCTGCAACCTGATGATAGTTCCACTTTTTATAGGGTCTCCTTGCTTAGCTGATGTATCTGGTTCAGGTTTAACAATCTGCAGAATTTTAATGTCCATTAAGGCCAAACTATTAATTTATTCATTAGTGTAGGGAAAGAAAGCCAAAGAGTGGCATGCAAAGTCAAAAACATGCATGATATAAACATAAGCAAAGAAATATACATGAACAATTCAATGACTGATATAAACTCAATGAAAGCTTCAAATGTAAGAGTTTCGGCCCCAGTACTGCACAAGATACAGCAAAAGAATAGCTGAAGAATAATATGGTCTTTTAAGGGTGACATTCAATATTAAATTAAAAAAACTTTCATAATCCAAATTCTAGGATAATTTAAATTAAATCATCTGATCCCCAAACCTATCCAGATTACAAAGATAAGCCTCACAATAGACATGTCTGCAAATTATTGCTTGTTTACTATTATCCAATATCTGAAAAGAAAAAGCATAAAAAAAACAAAAAAGAGTCAAAAGTTGCCAATCCATCATAGGTTAATATGTCCAAGTGCATTAATCAATTATTTGATTTTGGCATGCAAGTATGGCAGAAAATCCAAGCATATAAATTTCATGCAATGCAGATTAAAACATATAAATTAAAGCATAGCACCACCCAATATTTCAAAACCAGGCTCGACTGGGAAAATTGGTTGTTCGGGAAACTGGTCAGGATTGATGAATCGACAAATACGGATCAGTGGATCGGCCAGCTCGAGCGAATCCGGCCCAAAATAATTTCTTCATCATCATCATCATTTAAGCCTTACCCCAATTATTTGGGGTCGGCAACGTGAATCTTGTTCCTCCATTATTCTCTATCAAGGGCCACACCCTCAGTAATGAGCATACAACATAGGTTCAGGATTCATGATAAGTTGTGGCAAAGTTTTACGATGGCTACCTACTTAATGAAACCCACCTCCTTTGCCCGGGCTTGGGATGGGTTAAGGGAAAGTTTAAGGTACTCACCTTTATAATACCGCCTAAAAAAATTTCAAAAGATCATTAAAATTTCTTAAAGTCTAGTTTTTTATGTTCCCCAAAAAAAAAGGAATATTGCACTATGGATTCATTATTTTACTTAAAATACATAAATACTAACAACCAGTTTCATACCTCAGTGTTTGTTGACCATTACATTCATTTAGATTTTGAGGTTGGTACATGTCATTTGCTCTTCTAGGTCTTTTTTTCTTTACTAAGAACCTGTTTTATGTCTCAGTGTTTGTTGACCATTAAATTCATTTATATTTTGAGGTTGGTATCTGCCATTTGCTCTGCTAGGTCTAATTTTTTATTAAACTGATATTGTTCTTGATGTGATGAGAGGAAAACTCATGGTTTTGAGATGGGTCTTTGATGTTTACTCTTATGGGTCCGCTTTCATGAATCATATGGTATTTATGGAATGACTTTTCATTTTTTCTGGGCTTTTTATCTTCTTAAGTTGGATCATTACTTGATATGCCATGAAATTTTTAATGATGTTGCATAGGTCTAAGGATCAAAGCCTTTTCTTTTCTTTTCTTTTTTTTCTGATTCTTTCCCATCTTTTTTTTGTGGAACTCCCCTTATTTGCTACATTACTCTGTTAATTGCTCTAATTTTACTTTTGTTTCATTTTAACTTGATCTTTACTTGTCCATAAGTAGCTGGTTAAAATGAAGCAAAATAAATTAGTCTTTCCTTTATTTTTTAAGTAGTTGATAAATGTGCCCCCTCATAACTTAATTTTTCCTTTTGCTTTGATTAAATTAAAAGGCATGGGTTTTCCACCTTCAAACATCCCCAATGTGGGAAAACCCTTGCTTTTATTAGTCCCACCTCAGGCACTTTTGTAGATTCCTTCTTTCTTTTTTTTTTGGTTGAAGTGCGGGGGGTTGTGTGTGTGTGTCTGTCTGTGCAAGGCAATAAAAGAGGGTCACGAGTGGTAGGCAGCCCAAGCATACATGGGTTTTGAGGCTGCCTAATTGCATGGAGAGGGGTGGGCCACTCTACCATCCTTCTTTCAATTAAAAAATAAATAATTGAAAATAAATAAAAACAATAAAAAAGGGAACTGGGCAGTCTCGTCGGGCCTAATGCCCCAATTCCCTGACAGAACCAACCGGTTCTACCAAAGAAGCGGTTGGTTCATTCTTGAACCGCTAGGTTCCCGATATTAAGGCAATCGGGCCAGTCCCAACGATTCTTAAGTCGAATCAAGCGATTTCGATCTGACCCAAAATTTCTTAAAACTCTGGTGCCGCCACATAAAATGCAACACCACCCTATTGCTAGGTGTTAAAAATTAAAAAAAATTAAAAATAAAAAAAGAATTTCAAATCAAGCATGTAATATTTGATAGCGTATTGCCACATTCCAATTTCAAGGGCGACTAGTAATAGGAAGAAAAATTCCAGGATAACAATGAAGAAGTACATTCTACATGATTGTTACCTAAAAAATAATTTGGATTCAATTTCTTTATGAAGTATAAAACACTAACACTACCACAGAAGACTTGGAAGAAACTTCAGAGTACGGAACATGCAAAATGTTAGACAACAAAATGTTAACTATCTTCTTTGTGTAACCCTATCCCAAACAACTACTGAACTCCTGACTGTAATAGGAGTAGGTCTTCCTTTTCCAAGCCAGACTTCTTCTTCCTAAGTCCCCATTGTTCTACCATTTGAACCACATTGTTTTCTAACTTGGCGAGTCCAACCTTGACTCCAGCTATTACTTGATCTCATGGTGCTGAGCCCAAAACTTGGAGGCAAATAAAAAAAAATTCCATTTTTACAAAAAACCTCATTTGAACCCAAATTTCTCCAATGGACTTGTTTACGTATATATTTCTATCAGATAACCCAAAATTGGGTAAAAACCATCAAGTTTGTTGGATTTGAGAGATCAAAAAAGCGGCCAAGTTTTGCAAATTCCAAAAAGTTGTGATTTCGTCAGAATAGATGGCCGATCTTTGATGAAATTTGTTCTCGAAGAACATTTATGTGATCTTCTAGCAAGCATAAGCATGTGTGCTTTACAAGAAAAGACAAAAAAATTAGTTTAGACAGATCTTAGTTTCAAATGTACTACTCATGCAAAAGTTTCAAGAGATCAGATCACCTAGATCCATAGAAGTTTTGATTGGGATTATCTAAGGAAGCTTTGATAAGGATTGATGGGATGAATTCACACTAAGCATGAAGATTGGGGATCGGCCTCAATATTCCAGGAAATTATCATTTTTGAAATGTAAATTCATATATTTAATTTATTTCAAGTCAATATCATTCATTTATAATTAATTTTGTATATACTTTTTATGTTTTCTTATTTATGATGATTTTTCTATTAATACTCATTTCTGAGGAACCGTTCTACAACCAATTTTCCATGTTTCTTATATTTCGTTTTTTTGTTTATCTTTTATATAATTTTCATGTTTCTCCTTTTTCGTTGTTTTGACTGTTTATTTCTAAATTTTACCAGGTCTTTAGGATGTTTCCTATTTTTTGGGTTTTCGTTAGCCTTTTGGGTGGCTTAGCATTGATTCAGGTGAGTCAACTCTAACTCCCCTGAGTAACTCAGCCAGGCCAGGGCCCAAGTTTCGAGGCTGAGCGAGTTTGAAAATATTGTTTAAACATGAGATCATGAAATCATTGACAAGGTTAAATTGCAAGGTCAGTAATCTCCTTTGAATTACTAAATTTCTGTGGGCTTTGTTGTACCGCCAGAAAATGTTTTTGCCTATATCAAATTGTTAGTTTTTGCCTATATCGAATTGTTAATCTCTGTCAAAGTTTCTTTTGATTTTTCAGTTTGTCAATATCTCTGCCGAAGTTATTATGAAATGAGATAATCTCATATTGATAAACTTTTGGGTATTGCTGTCATTAGATAATCTCATCATTTTCAATAGTCATTAGATAATCTCATCATTTTCAATAGTCATTAGATAATCTCATCATTTTCAATAATATTAAAAGGAATATGGAATAGTGCTACAAACAAAACGTTTATCAAGCCCTGAAAGGGGTCACATTAATTCTATCCAAGAGAAACAAGTGTCTAATTTGAAGTCATAGGACAATAATTATTTTAAAAAAAAAACAGCCATAGGAACCAATTTACTCAGGACATCTCCAATCTTTCAAATGCTTAAGGCTCCCATCCCTTTCCCTTCCCCTTCCCCTTCCCCTTCCCCTTCCCCTTCCCCATGAAGCCTTTTACAAGGCCTTCTTATAGTAATGATGGATACTTAGTAGTTCACATAATTAAAGACATAATACAACTTGTGATGGAGACTGAATCTAAGACCAAAACAGTGGCTCAAAGCAAAGCATGTCTGAGGCCCTCAACATTGTTCTCACCGCGCTTTGCACATGGAAAAATAACGCCTAACTTTTACTATGTCATTCCTACACCAAATGCCTTACCATGAAACATCTTTGATCTGCTCTTATGCAAGGACCCTCCATCTTTGATCGGCTCTTATGCAAGGACGATATCCCGAATACTAGAAACTTTAAATCTGTATTAGACATTGAATCTTATAATTTTGTCTATGTGAACATTGTCTAATAGTCCATTCCCCTCTTAATGTACTCCACCACTCAGATTTGTTTGCTGATATTTCTAAAAATGCAACCATTTCTCTCATTGTCTAATAGTCCATTCCCCTCTTAACGTACTCCACCACTCACATTTGCTTGCTGATATTTCTAAAAATGTGACCATTTCTCTCCCTCCACTAGGCTACAGTTAAGGCCTAGTGGCAACATCCTCAAAGAAGATAATCTAATTCAAGGAAAGCACCAAATGACCCCAAGCTACAAGCCTAAAAGTCCCTTTCATTCTCAAGAAGTGCATTAACAACGTTTCCATTATGAAGCCCTAGAGGAAATTTTATGGAGACAGTGGTCATATTGCCAATTTGGATTTTCTGCTATCAATCATTCAAATGCAACCATTAACCTTTTTTAGTTCTTTTAGGGGTTTCAGGAATTGGGGGGCGGGGGAGGGGGAGTGCTAGGGAGTCCCAAAACTATCCCCGCTTGCCACCAAGACCTCCCCTTGTCATTGGAACTACAGGAGAACACTCCCCTATGCTCACTAAGAGGAATCAGGACCACTTCTAGCAATGCGACCTTACTTTGCAATCCTTGACCTTCCTAATAACCCATCTACATCCATGATAAAGCATTTAGTCACCATTTCCTTCTCTCAAAAGAAACCATTGCACAAACCTTCCTATACAAACAGATTCGACCCACGATGTCTCAAAACACAGATCCAGGCACAGACTTGGGCAAGTACCAACCTGAGCCAGCCAGTTCGACTTAGTCAATTTTCAACACGACTCAGCTGAGCCTGCAAAAATAACAAAGAAGGGCCAAAAAAGTATGACTCAGGTGAGGCTTGATGCACTGGATCAGGATTTACCAGGGTCCTTAACCAAGCCGTCTCAGGTGAGGCCTAGGAAGGTTCAACAAGTTTTTAAACAATGACCTCAGACAACATTCGCAGATATCTTTTGTGAATAACCAATGCGATGCAATCTTTGAAATGGGTAAAACAACTCATTGTGTTCACGTATGTCTCAGTAATGCCCAACTCAAGGAAGCTTCAGTCTTTCTATCGGATTTTGTTTCCAACTTTTCATGCATTGTGGAAGGCCACACTTTTGTTTTGTATGATTGCGAGTGACCATGGCAAGATTGCAAGTGTCACCTAGATATTATACCGATTAGAAAATTATAATTTAATAATAAAGCTAAGCAGATTTTCAGGGCTAGCACATGACTAGTGTTTCAAAAAGCGCTAGGCGGCACCTAGGCAGCCGTGGGGGGTCTAGGCCGCCCAATGCCTAGGCGGGCGCCCAGAACCTGGGCTGCCCAATAGAAAGAAAAATGTTAGAATTTTGATATTCTAACCATAAATGAGGAGAATTTTGATATTCTTATCACAAATTTTAGAATTTTGATATTCTATCAGTAATCATATTTGATATTTCTATGAATGAGGAGAATTTTGATAGTCCATAATCCATATTTTCATACCATGCTAAAACCATACAAGCATACACTGATACACACAGAAGTTAGATAGTAGAAACCATTAAGTAAAAAAAAAAATATACAGTCTAGGACTCAATAGTCAACACTCAACAATCAAAACCAAGAGTCAAGCATCTTCAACTCTTCATTCTTCAGTCATCATCATCATCAGAAGGAGTAGGGTAAGCCTCATCATGTGCATCAAATTCGAGGCCATCATGATTAGAGTCATCTACCTCTTCAACATAATGCTCGTCTTCCTCTGTTTCTTCTGAATTTACCTCTTCCTCCTCTTCTTCTATCTCCATCTTACTCTATGAGGATGAAGCCCTAGGAGTCTTGGCTGCTCTACCCTTTTCGATCTTTTTGTGCTTCTCTAAAGTCAAATATTGTATAATTTTCTTCCTAGTAGCCTCAAGAACATTTTTACAAAGGGCAAAACCCCCCTTAATGCTAGCAAAGTGTTTTTTTAACCAATAAATACCCCCATTAGTATCCTTTCCACAATAATTATATTTACTACGATTTTTATCATTCTGATTCGGGTTATAACCATACTTCCAACCCGGATCACCACTTCTAGAAGAACCTGAACAAGATATTTCTATAGAACAAGGCTCATTTACAAAAATTACACCTTATACAATTTTTATCGTTTGGTTTCAGGTTATGACCCTACTTCCAACCCGGATCACTTCTTCTAGCAAAACTAGAAATAGACCTATCCGAATGACAAGGATTTTGTTCCTGTTTGAGTTTTACTAAACTCATATAATCCTCTCTAATAGCTTCAGGAACATTTTTACAAGGGGCAACATTCCCCTGAATACCGGCAAAATGTTTCTTAAACCGGTTTATGTCCCTTTTTGCACCTTTTCACAATAATTGCAGCTTATGCAATTTTTGTCATTCGGATTCGGGTTATATCAATATTTCCAACCCGGATCTCCACTTCGACTAGATACGGAAGAAGACATCTCAAAATAAAAAATAAAGTTCTGCACTTACTTTGATTGCTCGAACTCCCTATGAGATGTTTTCTGGTGCGAAAATATTCAAAAACACCCTCTAATAGGGCTAAAAAAAACTTCAGAACTAAATCTAATATTGATGGGTGATATTTGGATCCATTTCCCGTAACTTTGGGAAACACTTCAATTCAATGAAAATCACAAAATCTGAAAATCACAAAATCTAGTTTTTTTGAAGTTTCTCTCACTAAAATGGATTCTTGTGGGCTTAGGTTTCAAATGAACATAAAAACCACCTTTAAAAGCATTTTTTTTCAAAAAAATTGCAAAAAAACCCTAAAAAAATATTTTTTTCCACCCCTGGATGGGGCGCAGCGCGGCAGCCCCCACCGGTCGGCCTACCGCCCGCTTGGCCGCCCACCTAGTTGATGGCGCCTAGGCCTTCTAGACCGCCTAGGAGACCTCCTTGGCCACCCGCCTAGTTTGGCCACACCCAGGTCTTATGGCCTGCATTCGCGGCCTCCTAGGCACTAGGCGGTCCATTTTTTTACTCACTGCACATGACAAATGCAATTTAAACAATGCAAATGCACATTTTGGCAATGTCATTTGGCAGAAAATTATCGATGCCACGTTCTTGGCATAGTTGATCTGGAAGTCAAAGAGAGATTGAGACTAAAGTCGATTTACTCCCTCTTACCAGATTATCCTTTAAGACTTTGTTTGCTGTTTAATATGTTTTCTCCCAAACGTTTTATGTTTTGTGCTTGTATGTGCCTTGGGGTTTGACTAGGTATACCGTCTACATGCCCATCATAAGTGAAAAGCTAATTATCATAAAAAAATGAAATTTAAATAATTTATAAACCATGAAAACTTTTCTTATTGAATCATGCAACCATTCATAGATCAACTACAGTGAAGACGATGCATTAAACAATTTCAAGCTACCAATTACATGCCATAGATAGCCAATTGTTCAACAAAACAAAATATCGCATGCAGAAAAAATACAAACACCAACAAAACAGAGCAGTAACTACCTACCCAGTAACTATTTGAGTCATCAACGTTAGGAAAACCAGTAACAGACTGCTGCCCACTTCCAGACCCATACGGAACATCATGAGAATGAAGGCGGAATTTTGTCTTCTCGTGCGCCAGCTTCAAAACTGTTCCATAAGTTATCTGTGGCATTTCATAAAGAACAATCACATAAGAAAAATAAACCATGAAAAAGTCACAATTCAAACGAAAGAGCACTGAAAAGAAAAAACCAACTCATCACTGGTCGGTGGAGCCCAATGTAATCAGACAATTAAATAGGAGGGTAACTCCATTACCAAACCTAGAAAACCTTTAATTACCAGAAGAAGTGATTTTAAAGTCAATAACACCGAGAATAACACCTTGAAAACTTTGTATGTTTTCGTCAATTGCCAAAATGAACCCACGACAATCACTTGGATCTCATACAAATCCGGCCATAACTTTGCATGCTAAGGGATTTCATATATTGACGACTGTCAAGGTTAACCATGACAAGAAATAGATGAGAAATCCATGAGAATCACCAAATCAGACTACCTTTTAAACCTAAGCAAAAACTTAGCTAGTTTCAAATTCAAAAGGCAAAAACAAACTATCATCACATAACAAAGCAGACCTCGACCACCAAAAACACAAAAGAAAAAACCTTAAGAAAATGCTAAACCCAACAATTAACACAAGAACGAATCAAAACCCCTTCTCCAGAATTCACAGAAACAAAAAGGAATTCAAATACCTCAACACCTTCTTGCGCCGCAGAAGCAGGGAAAGGCGACCCCTCTTCGAGATCAAGCCCTAGCAACAGGAAAAGCGCTAGGGCAAAGAGAGAGAGAGCCATTAAAAAGAGAAGAATGAGAAACCAGGTTTGCTGCCAAAATGGAAGATCAAGGGGTAACCGATAAACGATCCTTGTTGAACCAGATTCAAAAGGAGATTCCTTAATCGATGATTGCGTATTTCTCCTTCTAGAGAGAGAGGGTGAAGAGACTCCTGCGCTTGAAGGAGCCACGTTGAAGTTTCCTGCAAAACCAGAGATGAAAACTAGGAGCTTGAAAGACACTTTCTCTCTCTACACTTGTTTCTCTCTCTCTTCAGATTTCGGAGACTGAAACGTGTATTTGGGGCTCTGGCGCGGGTTTTACAGGGAATTGCCGCCACGTTTCCGTAGTGGTCTAAGCCAATAAACAAGCGAAACGTGGCATTTTGCTTATGTGTCCTTCTCTCATTTGCTAAGACATAATACGAACCACACCCCCTTCCCCCTTCCCCCTTCCCCCTTCTCTCACGCTAATGGTGTTTCTACCACGCTTAGGGTAAAAATAAATGAAAACAAGAGAAATATCTATAGTGGCTTTAAAATCAATTTTCAACACCAAGAATTTTGAAGCTAAAAAATAGTATAGATCTTGGGAATTAGTTCATACTTATTTTTAGGGTCAAATTAGGTACAATACATAATATTTTAAGGGTTTAAAATTTTTCTTTTTTTTTTTACAATCATATCTGCCAAAGTCGATATGATCAAGGGGTTTTTATATCAAAAATGCATTTTTAGATGAGTTTTAAAGTGATGGTTTACTTATTTTGATAATAATGCGGTTTTTTATAAGGTCGAGGCCTTACATAAAAAAAAGTAAAACCTCACCTTAAAACTTTATCCAAAAAACATTTTGGGCATGAAAAATCTTGTGATGGCTCGAAAATCTATTTTTACTTTTGATAATGAACTTGTAGCTCAAAAAATGGTACACTTATTATAGGACTTGAAATTCTAATATTTGTTCATATTCAAAATGGTTAATATTGAGACGATTAATATGAATGTTACACGACTCCAAAACTATAATGTTCAGTGAGATTTGAGACATGGCTTTACTTTTTTTCATAATGCCTAAGCCGTATTTTTTATTTTTTCCATATATAAAAGAAGCAAAGAAATTAAAAGTGATTCTAGGAATTTTTTCAACAAAAATTGCTGACTTTCAAATCTTGATTCATCTCGAGTAATTTCAAAGGAAATTGATGAATTTTGAGTCACTGATGTGTATAGGTCAGGTTTTCACATGGATGAACAATCATCTGGATTTATCAAGCGCTGGTCCATATATAAGGAAGAATCAACACACAATGGCCTTATAAAAAACGATGAATCGGCAAAAAAAACATGTTAAAAAACAGTGAATCAGCCAAAAACTAATTCGAATCAATGAATCAGTGGTTTGGATAACCGTTTAACTATAGAGAATAATTGTTTTACTGTGCTGAACCATCGATTCTCTTCTAGACTCGATCATTTTCTTATATTTATGCAAAACCAGAGTGGGGGTGACCAATTACTAGATCGGACCGAGCGAATCCATACCAACATGCCATTGTTTCAACAACTGATTGCATGATTACATTCACTACATCTTTTTCAACAAAAATTTGTTTACCACACTCTGGCAACTTTAACCCTTGCAGCAAACACCACCTAAGCTTCATTTGTTGTCATTTGCTTAGCAACTCCATAAATATGTCTTGCATAATCCCCCCAACCTGAATTCCCATACAAACAACGATCACATTTAATTTGATAAACCTCATTTAAGGTGCCACCCAAGCATTCGAAATATGTCATTTTTCTTTTTTTAAGAGAAATTCATAGCTTTATTAATCAGTGATTAAAAGGAAATTCCGGAATCCGAGACCAAAGTCTCAGTTAAAGCAAAGGAAATCCGCCAATACATTGGCCTCACGAAAAACATGCACAAGGGAAAAAAGAAAAAGACTAGACATGTCCCAAATTTGTAGCAAAATGGACCAAAATTCCCAAGGCGATTTTGGTTTCCTATTACACCACTTGATGGCATTCTTTGAACTACCTTCCACAATAGAAGTTTTAAATCATTAAAAAGAGCCAAGAGTTCTGCACAGTTTGCAATTTTCTCTCCTAGAGGGCTTGCATAAGAAAAGACAACATATTCATTCCAATCCCTCACCACTCCTCCAAAATCAGCTAGACCCGGATTACCTAAGGAGCTACTATCGAAATTAAGTTTAAATATCCTTTCCAAATAAGGTACCCATCTCCCCTTAGGCCTACACTTAAAAGAGCCCAATTGGAAAATATTCGATAAGTTTCTCCTAACATCCACTTCCATAATATCTTTCCCAACTTTTGTAATTGAGCATCAGAGCCAAATAGAGTATAATATTTTCTTCAAAATTCTCTTAACAGACATACAAATTCCATCAAAAACTCTTCTATTTCTTTCCTTCCAAACTTCCTATAGTATCAGTCCTCTCTCAATTTGCTAAATCACCACTCCTATATGTGGAAGCATAGGTAATGCTAAGTTTGAGATTATCCTCTTAACTTCCAACGGCATAACTATACCAAACCCAAGTTGGTCAAAAAAACCATCGCCAAATTTTAAAAGTAGAAGAACAAAGGAAAAATAAGTAAGCACCTTTTTCAGCATCATTCTTATACATTACGCATATATTAGGCAAAATCTTACCTCTCTTAATAAGATTAACAACAGTGATAATCTTATCTTGCACTGCCAACCACAAGAGGGCTTGAATCTTAAGCGGCAGAGGCCATTCCCAAATAGTGGTAATTTCAAGCATAGACTCATAGAAAAGTAACTTATACATTGATTTCACCGAATATAAATCATCTGACTCAATCCCCCAAACAACCTTATCAAATGCATTCTGCGGAATATAAACTTCCTGAAGTAGTGTCAATAGTTCAATGTACTCCTCAAAATCTGGTTCAAAATTCTATTATAGGGGAGAAAAATATTCCATACAATCTGATTGTTCCTAATTTCAAAAATATTAGCAATAACGCCATTGGAATTATCCATACATCGAAAAAATAAAGGGAAGACGTATTTCAAAGGTTAAGAGCCAAACCACTTATGGTGCCAAAATGAGATATTACAGCCATCTCCCAAATTCCATCGAATGTCCATGCATATCAAATATTTACATGAGTTAATGGATCACCAACAATAGGGCATCCCCCTTGTACCATTTCTCAATCCAACCCACAATTTATATCTGTCATCTCCATACTTAGCAAAAATAACTTGATACCATAGCTGATCTTTGAAGTTTAAGCTTCTCCACCACCATTTACAGAGTAAAGCCTGATTTACAATTCTAATTTTCCTTATTTCCAATCGGCCTTCTTTCTTAGGAGTGCACGCTCTATCCCAACGAAGAAAATGGTACTTTTTTTAATTTTCAGAAGAGCCCCAGAGAAAATTCCTCATTAAAGATTCAATTTTCTTGGCAACTTGAGGAGGAATCTTCAATAAGTCATCTTTCTTTTTAGGAAAAAGTTTATATAAGGTGTCAACCTTATACGGTAGAAGTAAGGTGCACCTAAAAAACTATCGAAGAATGTTGGTTCATTACTAGAAAATTCTCCAATTGATCATCTTGTCCTCCATATATATGGATATGGGAAAAAAAATGAATCTTAAGTCTTAAAAATAATACATCTTACAATATATTATTTGGACCGACTATTTTTAAGATTTCCAAGTGTTCATAGATCATTACCATTTTTGAGCTTTCAATTTCATAAAAAGATGTGAAAAATAGACTCTTAGGCTATGATAAGAGTTTCTGCACCGAAAATACATCTTTTAATGAGATTTTGAGGCGCACCCTATCGTGATTGTTTAAGGTTGACACCTTATACAAACCTCACCCTACTTTTTATCCTAACCACCTATTTTAGATTATAGATCGAGATGATCAACTGGACGGTTTTCCAACTTTAGAATGCTTTTTCCTACTTAATTGAGAGAAAGTTGACTGCCCAAGATGGAGTGCAGGTTCACTATACTTTGAATAACATTCCCATATGAGAAATAGTTCCAAAGTACTGTATACAATGGGATTGTATATTATGCAACCCACCTACTTTTCGTACAAGGAAGCCGCAATTATTTTTAGCCATTGGATGTGAAATCTAATAGATTAGTGAATCACAACATTCGAGAATTTTGTTTTAGATTTTGTGCCCAATCAATTACACATCATCAACCACATGATTTTATATCCAACAGTTAATTATGATTGTCACCACCTTGTATCAAAAGCAGTGCTCGTAAAATCGAATTGGACCGATTAACTAGACATGGGGCTGCGAGCAGTTAAAACTAGAATCAGACTAATCGGGGGCGGTTAACTGGACTAACCGATCAAGTATATTTTTTTTAAAAAAAAAGGGTAAAAAACCCCCGAAAAAATAAAATAAAAATTTAAAAAATTGAAAAAATTAGATTAAGTGTATATGATCTTATTACATATATTTATCTTACAAAAAAAATTCAAACAAATTTTTATATAAATTAATATTTGAATACTATAGTCTTGTACAAGATCCCAAGCAGGTCACATAAATCTATTTGTTCCTAGAATGAAGTCTGATAACAAGTTTACAAAACCTTACCACATGTATATTACCCCAATGTAAATATGTACTCTAGATATTCAAGTGTTGTAAAAACATTACATTAATTTGTGCTTATTACTAAAAAATATAAGCACACATATCTGTTTACGCACTCCAGTTTCAAGTTTTACAACACTTCAAGATATTGTTGATCACAATTAGAAACAATTGAAAAGAAATTGATCCACCAACTTTTACATGTCCATATAAAATTTCATCGGTAAAAGACAAGATGCCCGATACATATAGATTTTGTCATATTAATCAAAACAACATATTTTTATCAAAATAAATAATTTTATTAAAAAATACTATTTTATTAAGAAAAATAGAAAAACACTTTCTATATTCATCAAAAATAATATTTTTATTAAGAAAAAATAAATTTATTTTGAAAAATTGATTTCTCAAAAACTTCTAAAATCGAGTAACATTTCAAGCAAGAAACGACCATCAATCTTCAGATAATCAAATAATCAACACACAAGTATTGTAAAAGCTTCGACCAAACTTTCAAATGCACCAAAAATCGTAAAAAAAAATATTTGGTATTTTTTTTTAATTGAAAATATCAGATTTGTGAAATTTATATAAAAATATTTACTCAATAATAAATAAGCATACATATTTTATGTGACAAATGAAGCCTTGATGATCAAAATACACAAATCATTTTGATAAAAAAAGATCTAAAGTCGGTTTTTTTGCATTGTTTTTCGAACAACAGCTTTTCGGGCCAAAATCAACCTCTAATATTTTGTTTTTTGAACAAATTGAAAGAGGTACATGGTAGATGATTTGATTAGGATTAAAAACCCTCAAATTTCAGCAAAAACCTTTGACTATTGAAGATGATATTGATGAAATGGCGGAAATTTCAAAAGGCGTGAAAATATGATAATTCAATCCACAAAATCTCTTGATTTTTCAATCTTGGATTCAAATTTGCTTGTTTTATAGAGAATAAATAGTGTTTTACAGCTATAAAGCATGAAAAAGGCCAAAAAATAACAAAAAAGAAAATAAAAAAGCTTGAAAAAATCAACCTGTGAATCCCTGCATCAAATAACAGCTTCAATTGAAAATAATTGGCGCTATTTTAACTGTAATGCTATTTTTTCATAAAACCCGTTAGATTCTCTTACCCGTCCGGTTAGCATAAAAACCAGTCGGTTAGGCCAAAACACGACCAGTTCGACCCCTAACTGGCCTATTTTGGGCCTCAAATTTTATGGGGTTGTACCCTAGGCTAGGAGATACCCAAACCGCCCCTAATCAGACTCGGAACCCTAGCGGTTCCGAGATAACCGGCTGGTTTTTCTAACAATGATCAAAAGTAAATGATACAACTAACCCTCCTACCATTATATACATTTTTTCAAAACGGGACCCTTTTTATATGCCACTACCATCTCTTAACCATCTAATTTGAATGGACAGCTATGATAGTTTCAGTCATAATGTCACAAGTAAGTCTTTGACTGTTTGATCTTAATCAGACAGCTCAGAGTATTTTATTTTTAATTTATTTTCTACAAATCGTTTGATCCTAAAATTCGAGGGATGTCATCCTCTCATAGAGCGCTATTAGAAAAATCTAAAAATGTATTCTTGACAAAACAAAATAACAAAACTACCCTTAAAAGTCTCAAGGATAATTTGGTTATTTTATTTTATCATGGGTATTTTGCTATATTTTTCTTAGACAAGCCCCTATTAGAGGATGGGACCCCCAAATTTGGTGTTGATATAATTTGTAGAAAATTAAAATAAAATAGTTTTTATGCATTACATTTTGATTGAGGCCATCTTGGCCACCTAATCAAATCGTATGGTTGGGAGAAAGTCGCATACATAATTTCCCAATACCAAGTGGCATATAAAAAAGTTCCCTTTTTAGCTCAATTTTTTAATAACATTCTGATAAATCGTCATTTATTTCTCTATTTTTTTATATAAAAACTTTGGACTATCTCTATTTATATCTATGTTCAAACAAAAAGAAAATTGAATAGTTTGATGCCTGAAAATTGTTCTAAGATAAATCATCATCATCCGAGCCCTATCTCAACTATTTGGGATCGGCTATATGAATCCAAATGCTCCAGAATCCAGACTAAATCCCGCTCAAAGATTAACTCCCCACTATTCCTATGAGAGTTTCACAAAAATGTTTGGTGAGTCGGCCAACTCACACTATTCTTGTGCAGTCTCTCTACAAAATATAGTTATAAATGTATTCTTAATCCAAAATTTTAGAGTTCAATAATCTCAACTATGACAATGATCTAAATTTAGAGTTTTTATTTTTCAAAATATAGAAATGTTATTTTTTTAATTCCTTTCTTCACCGTCCATTTTAACTTTTAATGGATGTTACATCCATCTTAGAGATGGACATTAGATAGACAAAAGATCGCATGTTAATAAATGAGTCTGCTGACTCACCAAAACCATATCCCAAGTGGGCCACCTTCCAGCACAAGATGTTATAAGTCTTCAGAAGTAACGTTACAACTACCATTAGAGGGACGTAGTCATAGCTCTACCGTCTCAACCACTGATCACTACTGGTAATTATGGTTCATCACGACCGTTCATTGTTGAACTTAGATGGTAGATAGCAATCCTGTGTATTTTAGACCTTCACTGTATCTATTACTGTATAGTTCCCTCAAATATAATATATCATTTGGAGGGAGAATCGGTCAATCTCTCTTTAAATGTCAATCCTATACTATTCCTCCGGTTTCATTCGTATGTAAATCTGATCCTTCTTTCGTGGTAATAGCTAGTGGACTTGCAGAGCGAGTAGGACTGGTGACTATACCTATAGATCTGGACTCAGCCTTTCCTTGATATTGTTAGTGCTTGGTGTTGCTATTGCAATAGATAAAAAGTGAGCTCTTACAATTCACGGACACCATAAGTTTTAAGATTTGATGGTGGATTGATTCCCCATCTTTATATAGTGTATCATACACATTATGTGTAAATGCCACGCTCTCCCAAAAAGATGTGTATACTAAGCCAGAGCAAAAAACCTAGCCGTGCGTTAGCCCGAGTACGGACTAAACCGTAAACCCTCCACCAGCTGGTCATGGGCGTGATAAGCTAACCAATAAGCACCCACCAGCAAAATAGAGAATGTTTTGTTTACTATGACTACTGGGAAGTTTGCTGCAGTAATACTAACCCCACCCAATAGTCACGGGATTGATTGACTGATTTTGTATTAATATCAGAGTAATTTTTTGTACGGACTTTAAATTTTTTTAAAACAATACGAAATAATTCATGTAAAGGTAGAAATTATAAAGAACTTTTGCTTATTTTTTTTCAAAAATGCCCCACGGTCTTAGGATTCTATCGAGGATTTTTTTTTTCGTTTAGTTTTTTGTTAGTAGGGAAATTAAAATTAAAATTAAAACTAACGAAAAAACACAAAAATTTAAAATTAAACTTTGGTCTGAGGGAGGATCCTCGGACTGAAGGGTAATATA